CGCCCCCGAGTGACGGGCCGGCCTTAAGGAGTGCACCCCGACCCCTGCTTCAGCGAGGCCTGCCGCCAATGAATCCATCTCCGAAACTTCGTCTGTTGACGCCCCCCATATCCTCTGCTCCGCCGTCGACTAGCGAGCGCAGACGTTGTACGGCCAGCCCCGCCGCTGCCGCTGCGATGCCACTCGCGCCGACGTGAAGCGACGCCACGCTGGCGCGCCGAGGTGCCCACGAAAACTTGTGACGGAAGTGCGATATGCGTGTTCCTGTCCCCCGAATGACGGATCGCAGCCGATATGGCGCGGCGGGCGAGCGCGGGGCGCGAGCGGCGAGGCGGCGGTCTGATCGTCGGAAGGGTCGGGGGCTGCGACCGATAAACCGCGCTATCGGCCTGCCACGAGGGTGACGGGACACGCAGACGGGACTCGAAGGTGGATTAACGTTGGGGGTGGGGAGGAACGAGAATTTACTTGGGTGAATTACGATGGTAAGCGCCCCCTTTAAATCAGTTTAACTCATTATCACGAACGAAAGGTTTTTTACGATTTTTTTTCATCGGTTTCATTTTAAGGGAAATTGAACAATTACAGGATACTCCTTGTACAATAGATGAAATCTACTCTTGAGGAGTTTTTTCTCGGTAAATCAACTCCCCTTCAATAGTTATCACGGATCTCAAGTTAAGAAACACTGCTATTGATCACGTACTTCCCTTCAACGTACAGAACCAATGTGAATAGTACTGAACACGTAACGATTTTTAGAAATGTACTAATCCTTCCTCAAAATTACGGAATTATATGGTGAAGTTCTAATTACAAAGATAATCTGTACCCTGATCTAAGAGTATTCATCTACCGTCTCAGCAATCCCGCTTGCGTACACACACAAAGAATGCTATCCACATACTAGTGGCTGTTGATGTGACGAGGGCGTTGGGGTACGCTCGCGCTCAGCTGACGGCAGCGGTCTGCGCGAGCTCTTCCAAACAAGGGTATGCGACCTGCGCCGTGCCCCGAGTGTGGTACCCCCTGGAGATGGCGGTGTGCACGGGTGGGGTGGAGGTCTAAGGGCAGCGGCCGCAAAACTGCGGGGGCGAAACGCGGCTCGCTTAATTTCACCTCCGTCCCGCTTTGCCCCTCCGTCCTCGCCACAGCACGGCTCCTATCGCCCAGGCGCCAATTGGCCATGTTTCGCCTTGCAGACACAGCGCCCTTGAGCGCCCCTTGCGATTCACCCTCCCCTCCCCTCCCCTGGCCCACGCGAGCACCCGCAACACTTGCGCCGCCACCACTCCAATCCCCTTCCCCCATGCTACAGCGTTCTCACTTCCAGCGCTGACGCAACCTCTTTCACCAACGCCTCATCTCTTACATCTGTCCGTTCCCTCTGCAGCGTACGACGATGTAGGGAGATTACTATATAAAGAGACCGCTTTGACAGCTACTGATTGGCCATTACTGGCAACAACTGCAATTTACGCCCATGCATTCATTTTGCCTGTGTATACCTCATTTGTAAATGGCTTTATCACTCTCTCTTGTAATGTCATCGCCCCGCATGACGTTAATTTGTTTCCCGCAATGTCCACGTGGTCCCTTCGTAGAGTAAATCCTCTACACCTCTTTTCTAAGGTTCATACTAAATATTTAACCTTGTGTTGCTTCTAGGAATTATTTTTATGTAGGAATCGTATTATTTCCCTTAATTAATCCAATTGTAGTCGCTACACGTTTTCTACGTGAATGATCCGGCGCTGCTTGCTGTCGCTGAAGCCTTAAGTTTGCTGTTGACGAAGCCTCTCACGGGAGCCCGTTCCTGCGGCCTCCGCCTTTGTCGGGAGTCTACATGGCGTCGGTTCCGCCGCCGCCGCCTGCGCTCCGGGAAATCGGCGGGCGGCGCCGGGCGCGCGCGCCTGATTGAGGCCAACGAGGCGAGGTGAAGAGCCGTGCCGGGGGAAGGGGGGCAGGAGGGGGCGGCGGCTGCGGCGGCTTCGCACGCGAGCCCGAAGAGCGGGGGTGGCGGCGGCGGCGAGATTTTCCTGGAGGTGGCGCTATCGACAGCCTCCTTCGATACTTGGCACGCGCAACAAATGGCTGCGAGCATGAGAAAATTCGAAATTTTCCCTTCAGGTCTCCGACATTATTTATTACTGGAGGAGGCATTGTACTTGCAAGCCCAGCCCGGCCCGGCTGAAGAGCCGCGCTTGCTGCTGCTGCTGCTGCGTTGGCTGCTGCTGCTGTGGGCCTGTGCTTGCTGCTGCTGGCTGCTGCTGCTGCTGCTGCTGCTGCTGCTGCTGCTGCTGCTGCTGCTGGCTGCTGCTGCTGCTGCTGCTGCTGCTGCTGCTGCTGCTGCTGCTGCTGCTGCTGCTGCTGCTTGCTGCTGCTGCTGCTGCTGCTGCTGGCTGCTTGCTGCTGCTGCTGCTGCTGCTTTTCCAGGCCTCCTGAATTACACTCTCCTGAATTCCTCGGGCCGTGATTCTCACTCTGCCTCCTCCACTCTCCTGCTCCCCTGGGGCACTCGGCGAATGGGCGGAGCGACCGCGAGGCCAGGCGCGCGTCCGGGTGAGACACAGTGCGCGTACGACGACTTCGGAAAATGTCAGTTGGCCTTGGAGGCGGCGAAGCTCCGCGCTGTTGCCTTTTTTCCTTTTTTTTTTTTTTTTTTGTTTTTTTTTTTTGCGCTGACGGGATCGGAAATGGCGCCTGGGTCCTCAGAGCTCCGAGTCCGAAGTACCCATTCGGCGTGGGTCGTTGCTTGGATCTCACCGTGAGGAAGTAAGAGTTTACTTCCCGGGTGCTCTCTGTCAATATTAGTTTGTCTCAATCTGTTTTAATTAACGCTGGAATAGACCTGTGGTGTGATCATTAAAGAAGATTGTGAAATTTTGGGTTTGCTGGAGTACATTGCTAGAACTCAGTGCACGTGAGCAACACACATTTGCGCGGAAAGAATCTCACTAAGGATTTGGAAACGGAAGTGTTTCTTTTTCCATTATTCACAAAAAAAATTGGACGAATTGTAAGGTTACAAACTTTCTGTGCGTGAAGGGGGGGTTCGAAAATTATCACTCTCTTTGTTCATTTGTCAACGAACAATGTTAATGAACTGGATTTTATAATGCGGAGTTGCAAATCTCATTTGCCCTGAGTGTTACCAACCTCGATGTACGGGTGTTCGCAGGTAGGCATGAAATCTCCTTGACTGCGCCAGAACGTGCCTTTCTCTTTGGTCCTATCTTCCATATACGGAAGTTACGGTGCCCATGACGGGTTTCGTGGAATAAATATTCAAGGGTGGTTTCGCATTGCCTTCCTACATGATTGATAGGGGTGAAAGGAGAATACAATACAACCATGGCCGAGGCGGGACTCGAACCCGCGATCTTCGGTTCGAGATGCCTACGGCACTACTGCCCTAGCGATCTCGGCACCGGATGCGCGAACGTGGCCTAGAGGATTCATCAATATGTTCATAAGAAGTTTCGTAACAATAGAGAAGCAATGTCGGCGTGTGTAACAACCGTTCTTGAATTTCGTTATGTTATTTGGAAAGTTTATCATTTACTTCTTAGGACTGTCCGGGTGACGCCGGCGTCGTTGGCAGATAGGCGCGACGTTTCGGCCTGTCATGTCGGTAAGCTTTTCAGGTAGTGAAGACTCACTCTAGGGCGAAACGTCGGCCTATCTGCCACGACGCGGCGTC